AAGCCGGGTTCCTATCCTTCTGCCTCTTTGCAAATTCCCTTAGGAAAATTGAGCTCACTCCCCTTTTCTCCTTCTTTTCAGCGGGTTTCACTCCCTGCTGCGAATTTACAAATTTCCAGCTGGAGTGTCGAGGTCACGGGTCGGCAGCTCTCTGCTGGGCCTGCCCTGGGATCTGGACAGGCCCCTCCAGTGTGTAAAAAGGGAAGTTATTTGTTTTGAAGCTAGCTCACCCTGATCAGATTAAGTGCGCAATTTGTGAAAAAGCCCCTTTAGACATGCACAGCGAGGACCATGACTTCCAGTGCAGAAATGCTTTTTCTTTTTAAAACCCGTTTCTTTTGTGCTGGTGATAAAATTGGGAGACTGGGAAGCAGTGAGGTGGGGCTTCTTGTATAAAAAGCATTTCCTGTCTGTAAACCAGTTTGGACTGTGCATTTCACTTACCCAACTAGAAGAAAGCCAGTTCAGGTGTTTGACTGTGCTCCTAGGTTTCCAAGGATGTGCACAGGAACCCCCGCTTCCTGTTCCCTAGCTTGTGTTTCCATGGTGAGGGACCATGTTCAGGACGCCACCCAGCAGATTATGACCCGGCTCTGACTCCCAGAAGCCCTGAAGGCCCCAGTTAACCTCTGAAATTCAAAACAAAACACACTTCTACCCGAACCACAACAAAAAGTCATCCTCCACCCCACGCCCCCCACCCCCATCAGAAACAAAAGCAGACATTCTGTCTTGGTGACTGTTGGGCACAGTGAGTCATACCAGGGTGCCCACCAACTCATTCTTCCAGGAGAGGGACAGACCCGTGGTCATAGCTTGTGGTTGTGCCTAAAGGGGAACCGCTAGAGGAGGCTGGGAAGAAGGATGGTGCCCCTCTCAGGAGCCTGGTGTTTGGGAGGCTGGGTCACTGGCAGGACTGTGGAGAGGGACACACTCAGAGAGATGCTGGGGTTCCCTCTTTGAGCCAGGCACCACTGTTTCCGACTGGGTCAGGCAGGAGACCTGGTTGCTGTGAGACATGCACAGTGCCCGTGCTTCAGTTTCTAGCAGCGCCTTTGACCTGTAGTTTTCCCATCATTGTCCTGGGTCACTGTGCTGTGCAGATCCAGTCTGTTCATCGGCCATGGCTGATGCTGGAAAAAGTGGGGTGAGGGCCTCAGATAGTCTGAACCAGGCCCAGCCCTGCACTCCCAGGTGGTGTGTCCCCACTGACTCCCCAGGACAGTGGTGGGTGTGCACAGTGAGCCCCTGCACTGAGTCCGAAATGCCCCTCCCTGGGGAAGGGGCCGCTGACGGGCTGTTTTGCACAGGCAGTGTCTGTTCAGTGAAGGACATGTACCTGTGTTTCAGGTGTCTGCCCATTCCGAGGTGTGGAGCGCACATGGAGCTGCGCAGCGGCAGTTCCGAAGCATGAAGTCTGGTAGGTGACCTGCTTTGCGGCCCACCCCACCCCCTCCCTTGTTTTGGGCTCTTTGCCAGGTGCATGTACCATTAGTATCTGAACTCTGGCCTCCTGCTGCTCTCCACCGGGGACATGAGAGGGGCCCGGCCCCAGCCCAGTGAGTGCTGCTGCCTGCCAGCCTCGTGGCCCGCACACAGCCCTGCCCAGAAAGCCAGTGTGACGCTCAGGCCACCTCATCCCAGGCCTGAGGACGAGCTCTGGGAGCTGGTGGTGTGTGTGCACATCTGTCCCCCTGGGCAGTGGTGACATTGTTGCTCAGTGCTGTCCGGCTGGTTCCGACCACAGCACCCTGTGCGCGGCAGAGGGAAACCCCGCCGGGTCCTGGCCGCCCCACAGTGGCTCTGCGTTTGACCCCGCGGTTGCAGCCGCTGTGTCAGCACATCTTACTTTGGGCTTCCTGGGTTTGTTGATCTGCGACTTTTCCCAGCATGAAATGATGTCCTTCTCCAGGTGCTGGCCTCCTGATACACATGTCCAAAGTACATGAGATGAAGTCTCACCATCCTTGCCCCTAAGGAGCTTTCTGGCTGTACTTCTTCCTGTGTGCTTGTGGCAGTCCACAGTACTTTCGGTGTTCTTCACTGAAACCGTGGCTCAGCTTGTTCCCGGAGCTTCCTTATTCGTAGTCCAGCTCTTGACAATTGAAACTCCATGGCTGAGTGGAGCTCCTTCAAAAGCCGGAGCTTCCGCCCCTCGTGTCCCCTCTCCCCTGGGGTCGGCGCACTTCGCCTCTCAACTCCAGGCCTGCCCAGGACTCAGCCCCTGTGGCCTTTCCCTGTGTGTCACCTGGCTGCCCCGTGTGCAGTCTTCCCCAGAGCTGTGCTGGGTGTGGCATGCTGACCAGTCGGGGGGCTCTGATGACTGATGATGGCATGGCTGGCCGATGGGAGGGCGCCCTTCAGGCCCCCCATGCTGGGGCTGTTACGGGGGAGCAGGTGGCCAGTGCGTCAGAGAAGCTGCAGAAGCACTTGGAGCAGAGCACCACCCGGCGGGTGGCCCCGCTGACCCTGGCAAGCCCTCTAGCAGCCTCACGGCCTGTTCTGGCACGTTCGGCCTGTCGGCTCATCTTAGCTGTGAGCACCCGGCCCTGCTTCTCTGCTCAGCCGGGTAGGCTCAGGCTTTCCTTGGGGTGGGGTGGGGCGGTGTACAGCAGCCTTTCTGGGAGTGCGTGTGAGCTCTCACCCCCTCACTCTCAAACGTGTGTGGAGGGTGTGCTGGCAGTCTGTGTATGAGCGCCCTCCCCCCCAAACGTGGGGGAGAAGGGGTGGTTCCCGCATAATCCGCTGGTGGTTCTCTGAGGGTGAGGGCCCTCACGGTCCGGCGGGCAGCAGTCTTATGTCTTCTTGCACATGCTGGGGCAGCACCTCCCCTGTGGGCCGCCTGGTGTGGAGAGCCTGCAGGGCAGAGCAGAGCTATGCCCAGTCTGTCTGGAGGCTGTGGTCTTCACAGAAGCAGACATCCTTGTCTTTATACCGAGGAGCTTCTGGTGGCTTTGAACCGCAGATGTTGCAGTTAGCAGCCCAGCACTTAACCACTGTGCCCCTGAGAGTTACCACCCCCCACCCCCCAGCGAAGGGACCAGGACACTTGTCTGTAGCAGCGCTGCCCTTGGGAACGCTCAGGCCGGGGCATGTGTGATGTTCCAGCCAGAGCCGCCATTGTGCACTTGGAGAACTCCTGGCCCGCTGACCTGCTCTCCCACCCTCACCTGGCTCCCAGCTCCAGGACTCAGCTCAGCCTGGACACTGGGTATGTGCCGAGGCCGGTCAGCCAAGTGCACACCTCCTGTCCCCAGACCCCTGTGCTGCAGTGGACCCGCTGTCACTCTAGACTGCTGCGTGGCTGGCTAGTGGGGGTGGCTGGGCCTTGTAAGCCGTGCCCCTTCTCACAGTCCAGTGGTAATGGGGTCGGGGCTGCTTTAGAAACTTGCCACCACCGGCCCTCAGAGACCTGGTGGCACAGTGGTCACAGCACTCAGCCGCTCACTGAAGGCCGGTGGCTGGACTGACCAGCCTCTGCAGGAAAAAGATGTGGCCGCCAGCAGCCACTTCTAGGTGGGGCCTTGAATACCCGATGGGGCCAATTCTGGGTCCCACAGGGTTGCTGTGAATGGGCATCGACTCCACGGCAGCCAGTTCGGTTCTGTCTGTGATGACCCCCGGACCAGCCGGGCAGCATGTGGCTCCAGACCTTCCTTCCTCCTTTAATTTGGGATGGCCTCTCCGCCTGAGAGGACAGGGCACCAGCCTCCTTCCTCTTTCTACAGTGGGGGCTGGTGGGGTGACCCTTCTGGTGGGGAGGCGCCCTCTGGTGATGTGTGTGGACCTGGACCCTCACTTGCCCACTCGATTGTCACCTCCTTGCTTGTTGTGCCCCGAGGCCCCTGGGAGCCATCCAGCGGCCCCTGCTCCGGGGACATGGCCCCCGGGAGCCTTGGATCTCCCCCTCCTTGGCTCCAGGAAAGGCATCTGAGAGCTGTGGTGTGGATTTCAGTTGGGCTCCTTGAGCTTGTGTGTTACAGCATGTTTGTATGTCGGCGAGTGTCCCCTTTGGTGGAGAAGCTAGGGACATAGCCCTCACATCAGGCTTAGGATGCAGCAGGGCTGCTCCGCAGGGTCCCCGTGGCCATCTGAACGCAGCAGAAGGCCTTCATCCTCCCACGAGCCCAGCGGCTGGAGGGTCCCCCCGACCCCCGACACAGCTGATGGATTGACCACACCACATCGCCAGGGCTCCTGTGCCTTTAATGCAAATGTAAAGTACCAGGGGGACTCACGAATCCCATCATCTCTTAGTTTCATTGTTTCAGCAAACTTTTAAACAGTCCCATCCCCGGCCATGTGCGGGGGTGGGGTGGGGGGCATGCATCACCATGGTAATACGACGCTGAGTGGAGCAGTGTTGGCACACAGGTAGAGGGAGCAGCCGTCCGGTGTCTCCCTCCCTCCCTCCTCACTCTTCAGGGTGCCGTCCTCACGGTTGAAGAGCGGAGACGTCTGAAGGGAGGGGTGAGATCAGGGCTGTGGGTGGATGGGACAAGTCACCAGTGAAGTTCTCCTAACTCCTTTATAGTAAAGGAGTTTTGGGTCCCCAAAAGTCGTCACCATAACCTTCTGGACTGATCTCTCTACCAGTCTACCTCACTCTGAATCCCATTGGTAAATTCAAGATTCATCCATAAAACTGCCTTCATTGGCTGCAGTCTTGTCTTCTAGACGGGAGAGGAGAGACCCGCTCTGTGGGCAGCTGCCCTTGGGGTCGAGACAGGCCAGTGATGGAGAGACCTGGCCTGCAGCCATCTACGGAACCCAGAGACCTGCTTAAACCCGTTCAGTTTGGAATAAACCTGTGCACGTGTGAACTGAACCTTAGTGGCAGCGCTTTTGGCCCATGCATGTGCTTACTTATTTTATGCAAATACAGACATAAGCTAGCTTGTGAATCCTTAGAGGCCAGGATGGCAAGACTTCTTCTAATATCCTTTGGGCATGTCGTAAGAGACCAGTCCCTGGGAAGGAAGGACTATGCCTGGTAAAGGAAGAAGAGGCCCTGGATGAGACAGACGGATGGACGCAGGGGCTGCAGCAGCGGGCTCCGGCACAGGAACGTTGTGAGGACGGTGGGGACAGTGCCGTTTCCTTCAGTTGGGCACGGGGTTTCTGTGTGTCGAAGTGACTCGGAGGGACACCAGGTGGGGAATCACAGTGCTTCGCGGCCACTGGTCATAAAGCAGCAGAGCCTAAGGTGTGTCTGGCTCTCGGCGCGCTCTTACGACTTCAAATGTGCCTTTCTGGAGATGCAGGATATTTGTCTGAGAACCTCCTGGGACGTGTGTTTCCTGTTCCGTGTAGTTCTGTTGCCTGCCTGGTACACAGTAGGGTGATTTGCTTCCCTGTCTTTGAAGTTTAGAACTTTCTCTCACTTGGTACCTCTTTAAAGTATTTGCACAACTCAAAAGCCAAAAGTGTACAGTGCAGACGGCATCTCTGTCCCTGCACCGTCTCTTCACTCTGTCCTCTGGCTGCCCCGTCACTGAGCCCTGCCGTGGGGCAGACGCAGGTGGACACACAGGTATAGTCGGTGTCACCACTGCATGTCTGTTCATGGTAGTCCGTAGTCCCTACCCAGCAGGGCCAAAGCTACCCCAGGCCCACCTCCGCTTTGTGTTGAGAGGTGGTGGGATGGCTTGTTGGGGAGAAGGGCAGGTGCCCTTCCCCTGAAGTCCTCTCCCAGGGCCATCCCCCAGGCTGGGGCAGCAGGAGTGGTCTGGGCAGCATGGTCTCTTCATACCTTACAGCCGATGGGCACTGCTAAGCCTTTGGGTGAGAAACGTCTCTGGTGAGCTCTGAGTTGAATAGGAAAAGGAGTGGGGACTAGGGGCCATGGGGACGCTGACCCATGCCCAGGTGGCCCCTGTAGATGGACCCTGACACGTGTCTGGAGCAGAGATGACCCTTGAGTCACTTGTTAGCCTAGGGGAGGACCCGCTGCCCGCCGAGGCTTTTCAGAAAGAAGAAACACTGATGGGCTGGTGTGTGGTGTGCTGCCTCCCCCACCTCTCCTCTTCCTCTTCCTCCTCCTCCCTCATGGTCAAGGGCCAAGTCTCCGAGGTGCCACCACCCCGCCCCAGAGAGGTGGGCAGAGCAGAGGCCAGGTGGCCATGCCCCGGGTGAGCCCCTGTGCTGTGCACGCGGGCAGGTTATTTGTCACCCAAGCCCTGTTCTCTGTGGTATAGTTGCCAGGTATGTGCTAGCCCCAGGGCCTCCCCACAGCGACACTGGGCAGAACACCGTGGGAAGGGACCCTTGCACGCAAAAAACCAAAGCTGGCGTGTGCGCTGTCCAGACATGTGAGAAGAAAGGGCTGTTTTTGGGGAGAGCCACTCAAGCAAGTACACTGTTTCCTCCCATGTGGCTGCAGGGACCATGCCTGGACCCGGTGGCTCCGAGTTTGCTACTGGGCTGCTAGCTGCAAGGTCGGTGGTTCAAACCCACCAGCTGATCCACTGGGGGAGAGAAGGCTGCTTGCCCCACACAGTTTGCAGTCTCGGAGACCCGAGAGGCTTCTCTCTGCCCTTGGAGACAGCGCTGAGTCAGGGTCGCCACCAGAGGGGGTGTGAAGAGTATCCAGACGGGGTGAGTGTGGCTCCCAGTTGCCCCCCTTCATCCCCACTGGGGTCTTGGGCAGCTGGGCCTAGACACTGCTGGGTGGGCACTGTCTTGTGACATCTGACATGGTAGAGACGGGCCCATCGAGGCCCCCCACCCTGCAGGGCTGACCGTTGCCTGGTTTTTGTGTGGCAGCACTCCCGGAGAGACGCTGCATGTGGCGGGCCTGTCTCTAAGCAACTCTTGAGTGGCAGCCTATTGGGCTATTGGCTTGGTGACTCTGGTGGCCTGCTTCCCTCCGGCTGGGTGACAGCAGGATTGTGACACTGGTCAAGGCCTGCTAGTTTTTCTTGAGACCTGCACCACCCAGGAGTGTCCCCTTCGTGACCATCCTTCTCAGAACCCTGCCTTGGTCGAGGTCCTTCGGAAGCCAGCCCTGCACGGTGCCCCCTGTCTGTCCTCAGGTTTGGCAGCCTCGACTCCATGGTCTGGATGCCCCCTACGCCGTGCCCCTGACAGACATCTCTGTCCTCCACACTGAGCTGACTGTCCACCCAAGGGGACGGGGAGGCTGTGGCAACGGACACTCCTGGGCCCTGGGTCAGCATCCCACAGAGCGGCCACAGTTACAGCCTCTGAAAGCATGGCTGTTGCGAAGTGTGAGCGGTCCTGTAGTTGTGTCTGGTCCAATGTGTGAAGCAATTGCACCCGGTGTGCCTGGGATAAGGTGTGAGGGGCCCCGCCCAGTGTGCCTGCCACGAAGCATGCGGGTCATGGCGCTGTGTGTGAAGGAAGTGCAGGGTCGCCCTGGTGTCTGGGCTCTTCTGGAGTCTCCCATTTGGCTGCGGTTCCAGCCCCATACGCGAGTCATCCTAAATGTAGCACACGTGGGAGCTGCACAGACATCTGTCGCCTAATGAGTCAGAACTACTGGACTGCAGCTAGCCACCACCGTGGTCAAAGGAAGGACCATCTGCAGGCTTGCCAGCTCCCCGGGACCTTCCATGGCGCAGCCCCGCTCCATCCAGAGAAGCGGAACTGTTGCCGGTGTGTCTGATCCTGGCGCCTTGCTTCTCGCACAGTTCCAGACGGTCTGTCTGTTTGTCTGTGTGCCCCTGAAATTGGGACGCCTGTTTGAAATGACACATTGATCTCTTGATGGACAGAGTCCCTTTCATCCAGCCCGTGGAAGTGCGTTGCTGAGGAAATGTGTCCTCACGGTCCAGTCAGCCCTGGGCGTACCTCGGGCTCACCTTTCCCGACAGTTGGTGATTGGATCCAGAGACTTGACCAGACTCATGTGGCGGCATGCTCCATTGGGAGGCCCAAGGTGTGTCTGAGTGTACCTCGCCATCGATGTACCTGCCTGTGCAGGTCAGCGGTGATGCTGTCACTCCGTTACTCCGTCTCCATTTATGAAGAGTCCACTGGTCTCCCACCTGGTTTTCCAGCCCAGTAGTCCACGTAGGAAACAGGTACGTGTTCGCGCGTTCCTTTTCTTGCCCTCAGAGTGACTGGTGACGGCTCTGTCTTGGCATTGTTAGGGACTCGTGGGTTGAAACCTTCTTGCCCATTCTGGCACCAACCCTCCTGTGGCATGGCGCGCGCTCCTTCTCTGCCAGGCTTGGTAATTTGCTGCGATGGCCACACCCATCTCAGTCAACACTCTTGATTACGGGGTTTCTTGAGGAGGAGCAGGCGACAGTTCAGGATGCCAGCATACAGGTCCTCAGGCAGGGCAGCCTCCGTCAGCCGGGCCCACAGGCGGGCCTCATTCTGGCCCTTTGCCCATCGGGACTCTTCGACCAGCCTGGCCTCTGTCCTGCTCAGGCATGTGTTCCAGCACTGTTTGGCTCTAACAGTAAGTGCCCAGAGAGGTGCCCCCTCCACCAGCAAGCCTGCTTGATACGCAGCGCCCTCTCTGGGCTGAGAGGCCCCAGAATTTCCCACTGCCGCTGCTCATCCTTGCACTGCTCCTGGGTCTAGGAGGTTCTCAGCACAGGAACCCCGACACCCAACAAAGACTTGTTTGTATCTTGTCTTTGTGTCTTTCGGGTATATACCAAGTAGAGAGATTGCAGGATCGGTAAGGTGCTTGTATTTGCATTAAGAAAGTGCTACACCGTTTCCTGTAGTGGTTGCACAGTTCAGCAATCCCACCAGCAATGTATATGAGCCTCCCAAATTCTCCACATCCTCACCAGCGTTTATTATTTTGTGTGTTTGGGTTCTTGTTTTTGTTGTGAAATTTGCTAAGATTGTTGGTGTGAGTTAGTATCTCATCATTGTTTTAATTCACATTTTTCTTACAGCTAATGAATGCAAGCAGTTCTTCATGATTGTTGGCTTTCTAAATGTCATCTTTAATAAATTGTCTATGTCTTGTACCTATTGTTTAACGGGGTTATTTGTGATTTTTTTAGTAAGGTGTTGTGGTTTTCCATCGATTTTCTATATCTTTCTATAAATTTATCAGATATATCAGTGCCAAATATTTTTCCAACCTGTGAATTCTGTTTGGATTAAGTCCTTTGATTTGTATATAAATGTTATGTATATAGACAAGTCCTCTACTTTGTCTTCTATAATGTGGGTGTTTTTCATTCTGTTCGTTAGAATATTTTTGCCTTGTATTAGGGCCATTGAGTTTGTCCCTGGTTTTTCATTGATGGCCTTTATGGTCCTGGGGTTTACATTTAGCTCTCTAATTCATCTTGAGTACATTTTTGTATGTGGTGTGAGGTATGGGTCGTTTACTTCTTCACAGGCCGACATCCAGTTTTTCCAGTACTAGTTGTTGGAGAGGCTATCTCTTCCCCACTTAATATGTTTTAGCTTTTTATTAAAAATCAATGTTGTAGGTGCTTGTATGTCTGGTTCTCTGTGTTCATCCATTCACATACCTGTTTTAGTCACACCAACCTGTTTGATCACCGTGTTCGTCCATTCACATACCTGTTGTAGTCACACCAACCTGTTTGATCACCGTGGCTTTGGGCAGTGCAAGTCAGCTTACTTTTTATTTTTTAATAGTGTTTTGTTTATCCGAGCTTCCTGGTGATTAGCTTTCTCATTTCTTTCAAAAATTGTGCTGGGACTTGGATTAGAGCTGCATTGAATTTATGGAGTGCTTTCATGATACTAAGCCTTCCTTTCCAGTAGCACAGGACATTCTTCCATTTACGTAAGTCTCTTTCGGTTTCTTATAGAAGTGTTTGACAGCTTTCTCTGTGTTGTCTTTTGTCTCTCTAGTTAATTTTATTCCTTGTTTATATTTTGGATAGTTGCTGTAAAAGGCCAATCTCCATCTCTGAGTCCTCTTGTTCAATGTACAGGAATCCAGTTTGTGTTCAGGCTGCTGTGTTGCCAGAGTTTTCATTTGTTCCAGCAAAAAAAAAAAAAACAACTTCCATGAAATTAAAATTATCATAGTTTTTTTGTATGTATCCTAATTTTTGGATGTATATGTGTGTAGGGGTCAGGATCTCCTGTTAAACATACACTGTATCTTCTTTATTCCCTAAATGTGTCAATTTTCCTTTTGTCTTTTCATCTCTTAACTTTTAGTTAGACATTTTCCTCTTGTTTCTCCTCAGTTCTCATCTGTGGGATTCACTTCTTGCCGTGTTCTGTCCTTGGTGACCCTGAGGTGGACTCTGCCGCCCTCTCTGTTCTGGGTCCCCTCATGTGTCAACGGAGGAGCCACCCAGCACCTCCTGCACAGGGTACACACAGTGCCCTCGCTGCCCCCATACTGAAGCCAGAAATGTCTCGGAGACACACTGGGGCAACTTGGCCCAGGAGTCACTGTTGGACAAGCTCAGGTGCAGAGTGATACGGTCCCTCCTTGGTCTAGTTGGGTGTGAAAGACAAGGTTGTTAGTTTCACGAGGGAGCAAATACAGGGTGATGAGCTAGGTGGAGGCTGGCAAAGGGGCAGAGACATGGCCATGACCCTGAAGGAGAGGCAGAATGACCTCTGCCCCTTACTACTTCTGGCGCCCTCTCGACAGAGATGGCGTAGACAGGCGCTGGCTTTTCCTGCATTCTGCCCTGTTGTTGAGACCTCCAGCTCAGGGTCGGAAAGAAGAGCCTCTGAGGGTGGGTGTCCTTTCCTTGTTCCCAGGCCCACGCGAGCCACGCATTCTTCAAGGTGGAGGTCATGATAGCTGTAGGGACTGCCCAGTGCTGCTTCTCAGGTTAAGGAGCGGCCTGTGTGCCACGTTGATGCCTTCCTCGGCGGCGGCGGGGCTGCGAGGGGACCCTCAGTCCTGGTCCAGCTGCCTATCAGCTCTCAGAGTTTGGTCAGAACTCACAGACCTCAGCCTCGAGTGTGGGGTCCTCACGTACCCTTGCCCTGACCTCCTGGCTCCAGGTGTGGGCCTTCCCACGACCGTGTCAGGAGGCCAGTCGTGTACTCAGGAGCTGGCTCTGCCCACCACAGTGGAAAGCGGTGGACTTACATCTTTATTGGAGAGGGTGGGGTCAAGGAGACAGTACGAGAATCAGCCCCAAACCACTTTCTGTGAGCTGTGAAGGGTGAAGGTCAGGTCCATCCCGGTGTTGTGCTCTCCAGGCCACTGTCCCTCCACCCCGACACTGGCTGCTCCCCCTCCCCTCCACACTCCTCACACCCTCGTCTGGACTGGCACTTAGCTGCAGTGTCTCGCAGAAGAGCCATACTTAAAAGCTTGGTGGTTTACAGAAGTAATGGCTTCAGGAAGCGCACAGACAGGCCTCCCTGTTTAAGGCAGGGTGGCTCTCTGTCTCTGCCCCGAGGGACAGGCTTCTTCTCAGCCCTGCCACCTGTCACATCAGCTCTGTCACTGGGCTCCTTCCAACTTCCAGGCCTCTGTCTGCAGTGTTACTGCCCGTCACCTGTGTTTCAGCTCTTTGAGGAGGTTCCGTGTGTGTGTCTGTGTGTCTCCCTTTCTCTCCCTGCGTCTTCTCGTCCTGCGTTTTTCTGGTGGAAAAACCTCTGGCTTGATGGCAGCTGTGCACAGCTCCGTGTTGTTTCAAGGCATGCCCCTCTCACCAGGGCCACAGACTGACCAGTCCCCCCCTGGCCTGCCAGACGCTCAGTTTGTATAGCTGGCTGTGGACAGGCTATTTGCACAATGTGTTGACCAATCCTCTGAGGTACAAACCAGTCGAAGGCAGGCTGCAGGCCAGGCCCAGACACAAAGTCCTGGAAAGTATTGAACCAGGCTGTTAGAGCGCACCCTGAAAATGAAACAAAATGTCTGCGGAGAACTAAGGCCAAGGCTTAGGGTTCAGGGGAATAAAAATCTCTTTTATTTTTCCAGAGGACCAAGACATAGGTCACATTAAGGAAATACTTTCACCAAAGGTCTAGCAGCTCCCATGCCCCTCAGTGTCCATCACCACCAGGCAGCCCACGGAGCCTCTGTGTCCAGGGCTTCTACTTCAGTTCTTTGCATAACCCTTGTGAGCTGTCCCTGGCCAGCACCACCCAATCCCCTGACCACCTCACCCATGGGCACTCAGGAAGCAAAGTGAGCACTGGCTCCCTGTGCCCACTCACAAGAGGTGTGATGCCCACTCACTAGAAGGTGTGGTGCCCACTCACTAGAGGTGTGATGCCCACTCACTAGAAGGTGTGATGCCCACTCACTAGAGGTGTGATGCAACCAATGTGAAGCTGTTCACTTTAGATGAGTAAGCTAGCACAAGGAAGCCAGTGCGTACCCTGCTGGGTGAGTACTCCATCCCTGTGGGGTTATAACTGTGACCCTAGCAGGTGTGTGGGAGGGAGACATGCAGCCAGACTTTGGAGGCAGAATCTTATTGAATTGATTGATATCTCTTGAAATTGTTGGATACTTACCTGGCGGTGAAACTGGTGGGGAAACACAGACTCTGGTGTGTGAGCTGTTTAGTATAGACTTGTAAGTCAGCGTAGTAAGCCTTGCTGCCCTCCGCTAGCCTGCCTGTTTGGTGTGGCCTGCAGTCTACCGAGGGCTCTCCTCTGGGTTCCCTGGTCCGTGCGCGACTTAGCTGTAGTCCTGGTCTGCTGAGAGTTTTGCACACAGAACTGTGTTTAACATTTTCTACTGTGCTTGTCAGGGGGTTCACCGTTATTCTGGTAATGTGATGAACTACGATGGCTTTGTTACAAGAATCATCTCTGTCTACGTTTTACAGAGCAGTGACTTCAATTGAATATGGTTGGGCACAGTAGATATTTAACATGAAAAGTAGTTTTATCGGAAAAATAGCAACTCATCCTACACATAATACCTAAAAAGTATTTCTCTGATCACTTAAGAGTCGCACATCCTGAGAGTGTTACCCACTGAACAAACTAGGTATGACCATATCATTACATTTTCCTTGAAAATAATCCCTTAAAGAATCATCTGAGGTATCAAGCATGAGTTTTTTGCATTTTACAAAGAATCTAAGCAAGTATATCAAGTAACTGTTGTCCGGTGGCTCTTAAAGCGCGAGGAGTCAGACTCAAGGATGCATTAGGGCGCCAGGGTCTCTCGTAAGTTAGGCTTCTTGCTGCAGCTGCACTGGTTCTTGGTCACTGTGAGCTGCTCGTTGATGTCTTCTTCAGGTGGCGGGTTCCTTCCGAAATGCACATTTCCAACGTAGGCTTACATGGGAAGCACCACTGAAGTCCCTCTCTGAAGCAGAGCCCTCCAAGAGTCTGAAGGAGCAATGAGGGACTGCTGGCGGGGCCAGATGGTCCTCATCCCCCGCACCTCCACGCAGCTCTCCCGTGACCACATCCAGTTCTTTTAAAGTATTGGGCTTCTCGAATCAAATCCTCCTCCTCCTCCTCTTCAATGCAGAGCTGCCGGGCAGCTCCCCGCCCAGAGGGACAGGACTGCTCCATGTCCAGGACAGGAAAGAACAGTCAGCAGTCTCCATAGGATGAGAGTCTCACCTCTGACCGAGTTGTCCCTGTGCATGCAAACTGGCGCCCCTGGAGTCCCGAGGGGCTCTGGGGCTGCGTTCCTGCCTGGCGAGCGAGCAGCACTGCCATTAGGTTTAAGAGGACTGCGGCTTTGCTGGTTTCCCTGGCTTTCTCCCCACTGATCACGAGGGACACCCCCTCCCCTCCTCCCAGCGGAATGCCTTTGCTGGTTGGCTGGCAGGTCGGTGCTGCCTCGGCAGTGAGTGTCTCCTACCTAAAATCCGGTCCTTTGCGCTGGCCCTGCTGTTCTCCAGGGACGCCTCTGGGCTTGCAGTTCCCTGCGCGGAGAGCTTCCTGAACTGTGATGCCAACTTGTGTGACAGATGCAGGTCCTCCAAGGTACCTTCTGGTGAATCTCTGTCTTCCAAGGCCACCACTCCATCTGTGGTGGTGAATGTACTGGAGTTAAGTTTCTCTTAAGGAGCCCTGGTGGTGCTGTGGTCAAAGCTGCCAGCTGCTCAGTGAGAGAAAGGAGAGGCTGTCAGACTGGTAAATGTTTACAGCCCTGTAAGCCCTGCCTAGTGTCACCCAGCCTACAGCACTGCCACAGGCTGGGGCTGCTGCATTCACCTCCTGGTGCTGGGCTGTGCCTTGTCCCCTCTGCTCAGACCTGTGTCTCCTAGAGTGTTTGCAAATAGGCTGGACTGAGTGCACATTGGACTCACTAAGCCCTTGATGGAGTAGCCGTTTTACTGGGGACAGGGCAAACCCACCAGCGACAAGCATCTACAGGGACACCAGTTAGGACCCAGGGTGTGGCTGGCCTGAGATGCTGTGGCTGGAAGTGGGTAGACACCCCACGTCCTCGTTTAGTATTGACACAGCATCAGGTAGACACCCTTCGTCCTCGGTCAGTATTGATGGACCATCAGGTAGACACCCTGCGTCTTGGTTAGTATTGGGGGACCAGTAGGTAGACACCCTGCATCCTCGGTCAGTATTGATGGACCATCAGGTAGACACCCTGCGTCCTCGGTCAGTGTTGATGGACCATCAGGTAGATACCCTGAATCCTCGGTCAGTATTGATGGACCATCAGGTAGATACCTTGCATCCTCAATCAGTGTTGATGGACCATCAGGTAGACACCCTGAGTCCTCGGTCAG